ATTTGGACTAAGTAAGTGTATCTTTTGAGAGATCCTCACAAATTGCTTCTTAACTCGGGCGCCTGGGTCGCTCAGTGGTTGGGCGTCTGCCTTCAGCTCAGGTCATGATCCCGGGATCTGGGATCGAGTCCCACATGGGGCTCCCTGTGGGGATCCTGCTTCTCCCTCTTCTCATGTCTCCACCATTCTCTCTGTGTCTCTCATGAATAAATAAATGAAATCTTTAGAAAATTACTTTTTAACTCATAAAATGTGGGAATGCCAAAGAGAGGTTGCTCAACTAAAACAAATGAAAACGGAGTCATCTGGAGACCCAAGAGGCAAAGTAAAAGTTAATGATGCTTAATATTTTTGTAATGAAACGGAACATTTTATTTTGCCAGGGCTTGTTACCTATATCACATCCTCTACTGTAAAATCACCTAATTTTTATTGTGTTGTACAATAAATGATATGGTTCTTTCTAGTTCTTGAGATACTATCCAGGGGAAATTTTTGTGCTCATATTTACACCACAGGAATAGACCTGAACTATCTAAGAAAACTATATATAAATTGGTATTGGGGGGATCCCTGGGTGGTGCAGCGGTTTAGCGCCTGCCTTTGGCCCAGGGCGCAATCCTGGAGACCTGGGATCAAATCCCACGTCGGGCTCCCGGTGCATGGAGCCTGCTTCTCCCTCTGCCTATGTCTCTGCCTCTCTCTCTCTCTCTGTGTGACTATCATAAATAAATAAAAATTAAATTGGTATTGGGGGTGCCTGGGTGGCTCAGTTGGTTAAGCATCTGCCTTCAGCTCAGATTATGATCCCCGAGCCCCCTTCCTGCCCCCACATTGAACCTCAGCATTGGGCTCCCTGCTCAGTGGGGAGCCTGCTTCTCCCTCTGCCCTTCCCACTACTTGTGCTTTCTCTCACTGCTGCTCTCTTGCTCTCTCTCAAATGAATAAAATCTTTTAAAAAATAAAATAAAATGGTATTGAATACAATTTTGAAAACAAATCATAACAATTATGCCAGCTGTATACCTTTTTGCATAGTCTTTACAACTGTATACCTTTTTGCATATCCTTCCTGTTCTTTGTGACAGCTGCAAGTATACAACTTTTACGTAAGTTTTCGATAGCTTCCCCTTGCCATGTGCACACAATTTTAGAGATATCTTTTTGCCTTAACATGGCATCATAGATGTTTTCCCATATTACAGTATTATCTTCTTGCTTATGGTTTTAAAGGACTGGATACTGTTCCATTTGTTCCATGTGTTATAACTCTCAGATCACTTCCTAGTTGTTGAGCACTTAAGTTGTCTTTGTTTTATATATTATTCATGATACAACTATTATTTTCCACCCCTAGTGTCTGTCTTAAATAGTCTTGTTAGAATAACTTCCCAGCAATGAGATTACTGTTCAAAAAATTTGAATAACTTTCTAATTCTTGATCTATTGCACTCTATGACGTGGCATGTTTTAGCATTCTTGAACAGCCCTGGGCAGCACTGACTGATGATGGTCCTTGTACAGGACATTTATGTGTTGGTGGATTTATAGTCTTCAATTGGAAAACAGCTTAACCTTGGAGTCATTTTAATGGAAAAACTGTGAAGAGGCTAGAACTAAACCTAGACAGAGGTTTCTGAACTTTGGCTTTCTTGCTTGTACAATTGATTCTATCATTCCATGATACTTGGCACCGAATTATGTCTAAGCAGTGAGTTATTTCAGAGAGAGAGAGAGAGAGAGAGAGAGAGTGTGTGTGTGTGTGTGTGTTTGCCCAGGTGCAGGTAGAACCTTGAATGCTAATCCTATTGAAATTGTGAGAGAGAGCCCTAGACATAAAGCATCCCATAAATGTGACACATCTGGCTGTTTAAGAAACTTTGACTTATGGCAACTTGGGATGGGCAGGTGTTGAGAAGCTGTTGCTTGCAGGGGCCCGTCAGGTGTTGTATATGAGTGAGACAGCAGAGGTTGGACGGTACAGGAGTCAGGGACAGAGTGAAGTGGGGTTACAGGCCTTATCCAGGAATGTGCTGGTACTTGACTCTCTCTGACAGCTGCCACAAAAGAATGCCTGTCTGATATCTTCAGCACTTTAAAATTTTCAAGGGAATTGGGAAATAAAGTTTTAGGTGTCTTAGTCCATTTGGGCTACTGTAACAAAACTACCATTGACTGGATGGCTTGGATAGCAACCTTTATTTCCCACAGTTCTGGAGGTGGGAAGTTTAAGATCAAGGGGCTGGCAGAATAGGCACGGGTGAGAGCCCACCTCCTTGCTCCCAGACAGCCTCCTTTATGCTGTGTCCTCATCTGGCAGAAGAGGGTTAAGGAGCTCTCTGGGCCGCTCTATGAGGGAATGAATGCCATTCACTGTCTTTGCTCTGTATTTGCTCTCTGAACCCATAGACTGCCAGGTTGTTCCAATGGCTTTAAAGATGCATATTTGCAAGATTCTACTGTGAGCCCTCCCCACCCCCAAGAATTGTAGTTTTAAAGTAAAATTTTTATTAGTTTGATTTTCCCATAATTTACCAAGTGGTACATAGCCTATGTTCTAAGTAATGCATTCTTTGTCAGAGTTGGAGTGATGTTTCATTGAATTATTTTTACTTAGGATTTCTTCTGGTGCTCATAATCCAATTGTACCAAACAACTGAGTGATTTGCTCTGTCCAGGGGAAAAAGTATCTGTCAAAACTCTTATTTTTGCCTCTTAAACAATTAATCCCTAACAGTAATTCAGAAGCCTGTCTGACATGTTAAAGAAGACTTTAAGAAGCACCTTATATCACAGTTTCTGTGGGGCCAGAATCCAGGACTCAACGGGATCCTCGGCTCAGGATGTCACAGGCTGTGGTCAAAATGTTGACTAGGCTGCATTCTCAACTGGAGGTTCACCAGGAAAAAAATCTGCTTCCAAGCCCATTTGGGATATTGGCAGAATTTGTTTCCTTTCTGTTGTAGGGCTGAGGACTTTAGCTTTTTACTATCTTCCAGAGGCTGTCCTCAGTTCCCACAGGCTGCACACAGTGCCCTCCACGTGGCCCTCTTTCTAGGCAGTGTGCAATTAGCTTGTTCATCAAGGTCAGGAGAGTGAGAACAAATTTTCTAGCAAGATTGAGTCTTACATAGCACGATATAATCTTGGGATTCATCTCCTTTCACCTGTGCCCTACTCTCTGGTTCAGAGCAAGTCACAGGTCCCACCCACACTCAACGGGAGGGTTTATACAAAGTCAAGAAGAACAGGAGGTGGGACCATAGGAGTACCTTAGAGTCTGCCCCCCATAAGGATTCCTGGTGCCTTGAAATACTACCTGGGACATAGTAGACACTCAGTAGATTCTGGTAATTGAATGACTTAATGTTGCAGATATTACTTCTTTGCACCATGTATTGCTAGTGTTTTTTTCGCAAATCTATGGCTTATCATTTGGCTTCATTTATTACATGTTGTGATATGTAGAAATGTTAAATTTTAATTAGACAAATTAACTCAAATTTCCTTTTGGTTTATTACATGACTTCACATCTCAGGGAATCCTTCTCCTATCTAGAGACCAGATAAATATTTGCCTGTATTTTCAGCTGGAATTTTAATGATTTCTTTCTCCTTTTCTTTCTTTCTTTCTTTCTTTCTTTCTTTCTTTCTTTCTTTCTTTCTTTCTTTCTTTCTTTTCTTTTTCTTTTTTTTTTTTTTGCATTTAACTCTGACCTATCTAGAAGGTTAAGAACTAAAGGGAGAGGGCTGCCTGGGTGGCTTAGCTGTTTAGCGCTGCCTTTGGCCCAGGGTGTGTCCTGGAGACCCGGGATCGAGCCCCATGTTGGGCTTCCTGCATGGAGCCTGCTTCTCCCTCTGCCTGTGTCTCTGCTTCTCTCTCTGTGTCCCTCATGAATAAATAAATAAAATCCTTTAAAAAAAAAAGTAGAACTAAGGGGAGAGTTGTAACATAATATAATGAGTAATCCCTTTTTCTCCACCAATCTTTACTACCTTATTTAGCTATGTTGAATTATTATGTACTTGGTACTGGGCCCTCTATTCTGGTTCATTTATTTGTCATTCTCTTCTTGCTTTAAGTATACACGTAAAATATTATAGTATTGGGGACACCTGGGTGGCTCAGTGGTTGAGTGTCTGCTTCTGGCTCAGGGTGTTGTCTTGGAGTCCCAGGATTGAGTCCCGCATCAGGCTCCCCTCGAGGAGCCTGCTTCTCCCTCTGCCTATATCTCTGCCTTTCTCTGTGTCTCTCATGAATAAATAAACAAAATCTTAAAAAAATATAGCATTGAAGAAGAAATTTAAAAAATAAAAAATAAAAATTATAGCAGTGCTAGTCAGAAATGCCAGAGAAGTTACTATCAGACTCATTCAGTGTCATAGGTAGGACATGGTCTAAGTTATTGTAACAGTGAGACTCCAAAATACAAAGGCTCAAATAAAATGGAAGCTTTTTGGTATTTAGTATTATGGTGTAGAGGTATGTGAAGTCCAGAGCTGGAGAGGCAGCCTTTCTCCACCATTCTCTGGGGACCTAGGCTCCTTCTACCCCGTAGCTCTACTAGCCCCCAGGGTGCTATCCTGGTCTATGTGGGTGAAGCTGTCTCACCCCCACATCCATGCTTGTCTTCTATGTGTTAGAAGTCCTGGGAACGTACCTTTGCATTTGGGCTCGTGAGCCAGAAATGGTATATTACTTTTTCTTCCATACCTTTTATTTAAACGAGACCATGTTGCCACATCTACCTTCAAGAGAGGCTAGGAAATATGGTATCAAACTGGGTGGACATGGGTTTGGCTAAAATTTGGGAGGCTCTCTTATTAAAAAGAAGAAAAATGGTGCCAGGGACAATTAATGGTCTTTGCCCCAGTCCAGCATTCATAGTTACAAATAATCGAATTTAACAGGAAAGTAGTGATCATTTTTGTCAAGTGAAAAAAAATCAACCTTTGGATATGTCAGTAAAATATAATTATGTACTGATTTTTGGTTTTAGATGGCCAGTAACTCATGTGCCAGGTAGCATTCTATGCCAATCTTGAACGCCAATCGGAAGTCACTGCACGGCATACCTGGTCCAGGATCATAACTGGGCTACTGGAGTAATTCAAAAAAGAAAAAAGAATTGAAGCCATGGCAAAGGGAACTAGAGTTCGGTCTACCTCTCCTCCAGATGGAGGCTGGGGCTGGATGATTGTGGCTGGCTGTTTCCTTGTCACCATCTGCACCCGGGCAGTTACCAGGTAGGTGGCATTCTCTTCTTCATTATAAGATGATCTGGCTTGTCTTTTCTTCTAAGTTTGCTTCATTCTGTTTCTGAACCTGTCATTCTGAAAATATCTGTTTAGGTATGGGATATGTGTGTGTATATTTCCTTTGTTTGAATGTCTTTTTCTTTGCAAGGAATGTGATTTTCTGACACTTGAAAGTCCTGGATAGTGGTGTCTTCTCTAATATCTGGCACATAAACCTGGGGTATCAGGACATTTTTAGACTAATGTTGTGGCTATTCCAGCCATTTGTTTTCATAAGCAGCTCATCCCAGAAAAGAAAAATATGTAAGGTCAAAACATCCTTTTTTTTAAAAAAAAGGATTTTATTTATTTATTCATGAGAGACAGGCAGAGACACAGGCAGAGGGAGAAGAAGGCTCCCTGCAAGGAGCCTGATGTGGGACTCGTTCCCAGGTCCTGGGATCACACCCTGAGCCAAAGGCAGACACTCAACTGCTGAGCCACCCAGGCATCCCCATAAGGTCAAAACAATTCTTGAAAACCTCCTGACTCACCAGATACTGAGCTACTGAAGGCTTATAATCTAGAATTTAAATTCTTCTGCTTCATTTTACATTTGTCTGTGCTGCTGGAGGCTAAGTTCTAGGTTGAAGGAAAGGAACAGCATAAGTACAGGCTACTCTCATTCTCATTTGTTCATTTCTTCTCTCTTTCTTTTATCCAGGGGCATAGTGTTGAATGTGCTTAAATTACACTTGTATACCTTGTGACTCATTCATCTTATTTATATGTGGAATAAATACATGCTTGAACTCTGCATGTGCTAGCTCTTTACATGTGCTTTCTTTCATTCAAGTAAGAACTATTTGTTGCTCTTCTCTGGCAACGCACCTTTAGCAGTGAATGAAAGTAATCTGCAGTAAAAATTTTATTTAATGACATCCTCAATACACACACGCATCAATATTTCCCCCCATAGCAAATATATAATGCAAGAAAGAAGCGGGATATTTGTTTTTGCTACAATAAAAGTTGGTTGATTATGTATCATTAAAACTATAGATTTGTTTAAAATAATACGATTGGTATTGAAGCTGATTTCTTTCTTTTTTTTTTTTTTTTCATAGTCAATTGCAGGAACAACCTGCACCCCAGAACACTTTATTAAGACCTTATTGCTTACATAGTTAGAGACACAGATTGAGTTATACCAAATTTCCCTGTGCCTGGTTCCAGGTTACTCTGTGTAGAGCTTCCTTAAGCTGTTGAGAGCTAGGACACTGCTAGGCAGGGGCAGGACCCACAGTGAGAAGAATGGTACCTCCTAGGAGTTGTAGAGGGGGAAATGGGCTTTGAGAAGGCCCTTGGGGTGAGCAGAGAGATCAGGAATATAGCCTTAAGCCAGAGCCTAGGGGCAACATTCCCTGAGATGAGTCAAACTCCAGCCCTCTCTGGAGTTTCCAGGACAAAGCTGGGTGGATTTGGAGAGCAGCACTGTGAAGGGAGCAGGGGGCATTGTCTCCAGGTGCTGCTGGAGCCAAGGGAGCTTGGAAGAGCGGCCTGGGTAGCAATAGGGTTTCTTGCATTATGGTGCGAGGATGAATGTCTCTAGTTGGGGATTCATGTACCAAAGCTGGGGTGGAATGGCTGTCACCAGGCCTGGGGGCAATGGGTCTGCTGGGGTGACCACAGGAGGGAAGGAAAGCCAACTGTTGCCCACACCCCACTTAAAACAACTGCATTCATGCAGGATGAGACAGGGAGTCTCCTCTAATGGGGATGGGGTCATTTTTAGGCCGAGGTATGGATGCTCCCTCAATTCCTTAGTGTGGATGAACTTTTGGGAAGTTAAGTTTCTTTAATTAAACTCTGTCTCCTGGAGTAACCCTTCATTCACCCACTTCCAGAGACTAACCTGGCTGCTCTCACTTCCCCACCTTTTGTCACAAGGCACTTGTTACAGGGCTGGCTGCTGAGGAAAAGGTCGGGAGGCCTGGGAGGTGGCTCTGATGATGGCCAGTCTTCAGGGTCAGGAGTTCAGGTGAAGGTGGTCAGGGGCTAGCGGCTGCCATAATACAGGCGCACAGCCAGACCAATGAGCAGTGTGGCCAGGAAGAAGGCAGCTGTGATCTGTAGCCGCGGCAGGGCTGCTGAGAACACGGCATTGACCACAAGTGAGCAGGACACAACAAACAGGCATGTGATGCTGCTGCCGTGCTTCATGATAGCTGACACGAGTAGTCCATTTACTGCCTGGCTCAGTACCACAAGCACTGCCCATCCTGAGAAACCCTCCAGGAGGCCTGGGCCAGGGCCGCCACCTGCTTGCAGACCTAGATTTAGGAACACACCAAAAGTGTAGAGGAAGAGGTTCTGAAGTGCTCAGGGCAGCCGCTGTTGCTTCATGAGCGGTTCTGTGTACACGGACGAGAGGCCTGAGATGAGGCAGTACAGGATGAGAAGCAGCAGTCCAGTGGAGTGAGTTGCAGGGGCATGGGGCCAGCAGCAACTGCTAATGCATAACAAGCCCCTGCCACCATCAGCAGCAGTAGTGCTAAGCCCTGACGTGCAGAGAGGCAGTGCCGGAGACAGAGGCAGTAGAACAGGGCCGTGCTTCCAATCTTGAGATTGCTCAGCACCTGGTAGGTGCTGGGGTCCATATAACGTTGAAGATAGATCACTAGGTTGTTGTTACCTCCGTAGAGTAGGGCTGATAGTGCAAATGGGGCAGCCTGGCACCATGGCGGGGCCCCCTGGGGCCATGCCTGCCAGCCCACCAAGAGGGAGAAGGTGCACAACAGTAGCTTGGTCAACTCGGTCAGCCAAGGAGGGCCGGAAAGGCACTTTGCCATTCACATGGCACAGTGCCAGCAATGGGGCATGGGCACCATACATGGCAGTGGATAAGAGTAGCATCAGGGTCCAGCGGGCCTGCCTGGGACGACCCAGGCCTGGCATACCCCCATCCTCTACACTCATGCCCAAACCAGACCCTGGGGGGCCTGTGTAGCTAGCAAGGGGGCAGTGGGAATTGTATCAAGTTTGGGGAAAATCAGTATGGAGCCAGCTCCCCAGAGGGAGGAGCTGTGGTACATTGCTAGAGTATACTGAGAATCAGAGTCAGCAGCAAACTCCACAGTCAGGGATGGAAAAGAAAGAGGCTGGTGGCTCTAGAAGCCACAGTTTTGGGGTCAGTCCCATGGGGTTAAAGAAGGGCGTCCAAACTGCTGGCTGATAAGCCACTGTTTACCCTCTGTAGGAAGGAAAGCAAGGATGAAGGCTGTGGGCAAGTTGGAGGTAGCAAAAGGGTGATAGGTTGGGAAGCCAAATACGGTGTCTGTGGTTGAAAGGCCTCTACCTGCAGGCCTGAGGTGTTCATCCTTTCTCCCCCATGGGATCCAGAGCTAGTCAGGCCCCTTTCGCAATGACTGAAGATAGTCCCTCAATGTCTTCTCCACATTGGGCACGGCATATGCCTGAGCCGCGTAGATGCCAGTGCAGGTACCCACAGCAAAGCCCAATACTGCTGATGCCCTCAGTTTGGTCACCACATAGCTGGCTAAGAAGTCCTTGAGGAATGGGGAGGACAAGAGCAAGCCATCCTGGCTCATACCACTGCTGACTTCTTCTTTCACACGCTGCTGCAGGCATTCCAGATGGTTCTTGAGAAATGCCAGGTCCTTAAGCTTGGGCGGAGAATCCTTGTCATCCGCCATCTTCCCCGGCTAACTTGTTCTGATTTTTTTTCTTCTATCTGTATCATGGATCTTGTGTGCTGGGTGTGAGGAGTCATAATGTTAAAAAGGAATCTCTTGGTTCTTACATGTGTAAGCTTCCATCATTTCCATGATGGGAAAGTTCTGGAAGTGAGTTTAGGGCTTTATAAGGAGGGCTCAGGTTGATATATTTTGGGTAGTAGAGTCTTCATGACTCAGTTTAGGCAGAATAGGCTTATTTACCCCCATGTAATAGATTAGGACACTGGTGCTCAGAAAGGTTAAATGATTTACCTACAGTTTTGATCTGGTGGGACAAAACTGGACTGGTTTGCTAATCTTTTTTTTTAATTATTATTTCTTATGTATTTGCCATTGCACATGCACACATGATCCATTGACTCCTTCCAACACAAGTCAGGCACTTTCCTATCCTGTTATTTCTCATACATGCCCCATACTTTGGCCTGATCTTCCACATACACACGTCCTCTCTTATTGCCTTTTCATTGTGAGAAGTGACTTTGCTTCAATCTTTGCCTTCAGTCTTTGCCTTTGCTCCAAGATGTAGGCACTTTGAGGAAGCTCTGTGGCCAGTTCCTTGTCCCATCGAATACTTTGCACCTTATCCTCTAGGACAGCATAGTCCTACTAAACATAGGTTTTGAGAAAAATTGCCTTGGTGATGGAATCATTGTCTTAAGGTAGGCTACTTCCTAATATCCATAGGGTTGTCATGTCAGTGATGAGAAGTCATGGTGCCAGGGGACAGTTGCTTCTAAATTATTTTTACAGAGGGTCTCTCCTCTCCTCATCCTGTTGGTAACCAGTCATAAGAATTGTTACCCCAATTTGTGTACAAACAACTACGCATTAAGGTTGGGAGATGTGGATTCTTTGAGTGCTGCCCTCTGGAACTGTGAAAATAACGGGGTAAGGTGTCTGTAGAAAATGGAGGACTTCTATCAAGGACACTGAAATATTGTTGCTCTTTAATGCCATTTAGCATCTTGTGTGGCTTGTCTTGTTTGGCAGAACACTGAATCTCAGTTTTTTCTCAGTCACAGTGGATTTGCCAGTGGAACCCATGACTGTCACCAAAGGCTGAAGGTCTTGCATATATATATATTTTAGGGTGTACCCTTAAGTTATCAACTTCAACTTAACAGAAATCAGGTCCACTACTACATAACAATGCATTCATTGAGGACAAGGCTCTATCTAGGTGCTTCCCCAAACACAGATGTTGGCACACCACCCAGTGGGCTCAGGCACAAAGCACTGAAATACAAATCAAAATGTTCTAAATATACATCAGGTAAAAACAGAGTGTAAAATAACACTGGTGAAAGAGGGGTTCATTCTGACCTTGGAAGTTCAGGGCAGGCTTTCTAGAGAAGTTGTCCCTGGAGCGAAGTCTTGAAGAATGGGTAGAATTTGGCCAGGAAGAAATGGAGAGAGATGTTTCCAGCTGCATCAGGTCCATGCACTTCATCTGCTACTTGCTCTGTGGTAACGGTGGGCAGCCCCCATTCCTGAAGAGCTAAGAGTTTAGCAGGGAACTGGAAGAGGGTTGCGGCTGGTAGAAAAGACCTATTTATTATCAGAGGTTAATGGGAGAGGCTGAGAGGGGCATAGCTAAGCAGAATTAAGCTTAGAGGAGAAAAGTGTGAAGACACAGCCAGCATTGGAACTCAATGTCTTGAACAGGCAGCAGCCAAGAGGACTGGAGGTAGGGCCAAGGAAAGCCACCAGAAGGATGATTTGTCAAGGCAGAGGGTCAGTTAAGTCTTTTTCTCCCATTTAAACTGTATACTTAAAAATTAAGCCATATGGGGGCGTGGGGCCTGGGTGGCTCAGTTGGTTAAATGTCTGACTTCAGTTCAGGTCATGATCTTGGGGTCTTGGGATGGAGCCCCACATCAGACTCTAAGCTCAGCAGGGAGTTTGCTTGTCCCTCTCGCCCTTCCTCTTCTTCTCCCTGGGCTTTCTCTTTCTCACTCTCCCTCTTTCTAAAATAAATGAATAAATCTTAAAAAAAAATTAAACCATATATGCAGATGGTAAAAATTTGGACAACAGAGATGCATGTAATAGTCTTTTTTCCCTTACTCTCTGAATGCCAGTTTTACTGCCCAAAGTTAACCTTGTTGGGCAGCCCCGGTGGCCCAGGGGTTTAGCGCCGCCTTCAGTCCAGGGTGTGATCCTGGGGACCGGGGATCAGGTCCCACGTTGGGCCCCCTGCATGGAGCCTACTCCTTCCTCTGCCTGTGTCTCTGCCTCTCTCTCTCTGTATGTTATGAATAAATAAATAAAATCTCTCTAAAAAAAAGTTAACCTTGTTAATAGTTTCTTTGGGCCTGTACAGAAAAATTTCAAGAATTTTATATCCATATATAAAGCATATTCTTTTCATATTATACACAGTGTTTTGAACTTTTTTTTGCTAAGTAATATCTCTTGGAAATACTTCTATACCAACACATACAGTTCTACATCACTGAAAAATAACTGCTTAAAATTCCATCACAAGGATGCATGCATAATTTAACTTATTTTTATTGAAGGACTTTTGTTCCCAGGTTTTTGCTTTACAGATAATGCTACAATCATGACCTAAGCCACTTTAAAACTGTATTTCAGCTCCTGCCTTGTAACTAGTGATACTGCCTTACATGTAAAATTTATGTAAAGCTTCAAGTTCCCCAGGCTATTAAAGCCATCATTCTTATTTATTTTCCCTCTGTTTGTTAATGTGTATTGATTACTTTTTTCCTTCAAGATAACCTTAGTAGCAAACACATTCTCTATTTTAAGAATCATATTTCATTGTGAAATTACATGACATTCTATTTGTAAACTGACAGCTTGAGTTGCGGTTGACTTGAAAAGCAGTGGTTGATTTAAATGTTCAAGGAAAACCTCCAGCTATGAGACCTATTTTTCTCTCAACATCTTCTGGATCCAAATTAACTTAATTGCAGTAGATGTCTAAGTCCTGTGAAATTGAGGAGCTCTTTTAACAACAGCTGAATTCCTATAAATGATAGCTAATGTTAGCTGAGTACTTGCTCTGTGCTGGTTAACATTGTTCCAAGCACTTTTCATTTATTAAGTCATTTAATCCTTGAAACAACAGAGGTTGAATGATATATCCAAAGTCACGTCGTTATCCTGAAACCAACATTGCACTGTACGTTAACTAAGTAAAATTTAAGTAAAAATTAGAAGAAAATTATACAAATAATACACGTTTATTTTAATAAAAAAATTAAAGAGCTGCAAAAACCAAAAATAAAACAATCTCACGCAGTTAGTGAGTAGTAGTTCTTTTTACTACTAGGCTGCACTGTCTAGTGAATCACTTCCTGCATTGATGTAGTGGATAACTTCATCAACCAGAAGGAAGACTTAACCAAATACCAGATGTTGTCAATATCCAGCTCTACAGAAGCCAAAGAAGAGTTTTATAGCAGAGTGGTAAGGTGGAGATAGTAGGCACTTTGTCCCCTTGAGAGAATGTATCTTTGAGAATATTATTTCACACCAGATGACCCTTGGGTGATACTTTGTTTCCTCATTCTTCAGAATAGAGCCTATCAGCCCTTGAAGGATGTAGGAGTTGTTTGCTACTGCAGCGTGATCTAACACCTTATGACAGATCTAGTTGTGTTTATCAAACTGCTTATTTCGTAAATGAGGAAATTGAGACCCTGAAAGATAAAGCTTTATCAAAATTCTTACTCAGTGTGAGCATCAGAGATCAGGACCCAGCTTTCCTGACATATCAGATGCACAAATTTTCCAAAGTACAGTAAAAATTACTTCTGGAGTGAGGAGCACATGTGCTCCCAATAACATTTGTTTTCTTTAAGGTCAAGCCTATGTTTAGAAACCATAAATCATTAAACTTTACCATTTGAAAAGTACTTTTCCCTTTTGAGAATAAGTAAGAAGTGATACAGTATTCTTCCTGTTTTTTAAAAAAGATTTTATTTATTTATTTGACAGAGGGAGATAGAGAACAAGCAGGGGGAGTGGCAGAGAGAGGGAGAGGGAGAAGCAAGCTCCTCAATGAGCAGGGAGCCTGAGGGGCTCGATCCCAGGACCCTGGGATCATGACCTGAGCCGAAAGCAGACGCTTAACAGACTGAGTCACCCAGGTGCCCCTATTCTTCCCATATTTTATGAAAGTCACAGCCAATCAGAAGCATATGTGTGGTTATTAAACTACCTCTGGCACACTGACTCACATGTTTAGATAAGAATGTCCGGTGTAATTTTTGAATTTTACATACCTAAAGTTTGATATCACTAGTCAAGTCAGTTAAGAAAACCATCAAGCAGAAAACAAAACCATAAAGCAAGAAAACAAAAAAGTCACAAACATAGTTGTACAAATATTAAATCCTTCAGAATGATTTAGTGATGAGAGGGACTATGATTTACAATCCCAAAATGTCTTATCATCATCTGGGACCATTTTTTCTTAGGCTTCTGCATTTCCCTCCTACTAATTCGTCTGTCAGCATATGAACTCAGATTCTTCATATCTCTACTGTACCTTGTCTAGCTACACGTTCCTGGGTAGCTATCATCTGGTCTTCGTCTTTCCTTTCCTTCATATATGTCCTTGAAGCTGCTACTCAGCCTTGCTTCCTCAGCTTCCAATTACTTCTTTACTCATGCTAATCATTTCTTCCTTCAATACCTTGAACCTTGGACAATATTTAATGAGCACCCACTACATGAAAGGCAGTGTACTAGATATTTGGGATTAAGTGCAAGATAAGACAGATATGGCCTTTGCTGTCACAGGGCAACAGTCTGGTGGAGAGTACACACAAAGGCGAAGGGAATTGCTATAAGCCTGTAATGTGGTTAAGTGTCCTGCATGTCATGTAAACATTTAAGAGAGGTATCAAACCCAGATTCAGGTAGTTAGGGAAAGCCTTCCTGGAGGAGTTGACTGTTATCTTGAGAATAAAAGGATGAGGCAAGCTGAGAGAGAATCCTAGAAAGGAAGAAAAATCTTTGATGTTCAGAGGTGTGAAACAGTACGGGTGGTGTGTTGAGAGTAATGGAAAGCAGTTCCATCGGTGTGAAGTGCAGAATGCATTTCGGGGTGGGGGACAGGGGTCGGGGGTGCACACTGAGAAGGGCCAGTCATGTAGGTCTCAGAAGTTGTGTTAAAAGGTTTGAAGCATCAGGATATATTTCATGTCCTAGTAAAGTTACTCTGATCATAGTATGTAAAATGTAGCCAAGGCAACCATGTGAGTTTGGAGAGAACAGTTAGGAGGGTTTGGGCTGTAGTCCAGGGAAGAGGTATTGTCATGAATTATGAATGATAAGGGGAATGCAGAGATGTGGAGGCATTTGGGAGATAGGTATAAGGTAGAATAAGTAAGGGATCCCTGGGTGGTGCAGCGGTTTGGCGCCTGCCTTTGGCCCAGGGCGCGATCCTGGAGACCCGGGATCGGGTCCCACGTTGGGCTCCCGGTGCATGGAGCCTGTTTCTCTCTCTGCCTGTGTCTCTGCCTCTCTCTCTCTTTGTGTGACTATCAAAAATAAATAAATATTTAAAAAAAAAAAAGGTAGAATAAGTAAAACTTTACCATAGATTAGACTCTCAACCAGGCTGATTTTGGTCTTCAAGGGACACTTGGCAATGTTGGGAGACATTTAGGGTAGAGGCCGGGGATGGTGCTAAACATTGTATGATGCACAGGACAACATGACCAAAATGTTAGTAGTACTTGGGTTGAGAAACCTGGGCTAAGGATAACTTAACTATTTTGATAATGAGGCTAAATCCAAGGGGTGCCAGAGTGGCTCAGTTGGTTGAGCTTCCAACTCTTCATTTTGGCTCAGGTCACGATGTTGGGGTTGTGGAATTGAGTCCTGTGTCAGGCTCTATGCTCTGAGCAGAGTCGGCTTGGGATTCTCTCTCTCTCTCTCTCTCTCTACCTCTTCCCCAGCTCACACACATGCTATCTCTCTTCCTCTCTCTAGATAAATAAATAAAATATTTTTTTAAAAAATGAGGCTTTATCCAAGAAGTTATTTTTCTCTTAAATTGAAGGCCTTGTGATTAGGAGAAAATAATAGACCTTTTAATGCTGGTCAAACAATCTTTGAGATGTTAAGAAACATGGGGCTCCTGGGTGACTCAGTCAGTTAAGCGTCTGACTCTTGATTTTTGGATCAGGTCATGATTTCAGGGTCATGGAAACAACCCCCACATCAGGCTCTGCACATCAGGCTCTGCACTCAGCAGTCTGTTTGAGATTCTTTCCCTCTCCCTTTGCTTTCTCCCTCCAGTTGTGCAAACACTCTCTCCCTCAAATACGTCTTTTACCAAAAGATACTAAGAAACATCACGGAGGTTTTTTTGTTGTTGTTGCACTGAATTAAAACTAGCTTAAGGCTGTTGCAGTTAATTCATGCTTTTAAAAAAGCTCTGCAATATTTTAATTAAATTCAAATTCATGGGACGCCCGGGTGGCTCAGCAGTTTAGCGCTGCCTTCAGCCCAGGGCGTGATCCTGGAGTCCGGGGATCGAGTCCCACATCAGGCTTCCTGGATGGAGCCTGCTTCTCTCTCTGCCTATGTCTCTGCCTCTTTCTCTCTGTCTCTCCTGAATAAATACATAAAATATTTTTTAAAAAAGAAATTCATATCATCAGCCCAGTAGTTTATGTCACTATTCTCCATAACATTATCTATGACTGTGTTGCGGTACTTCAAACTCTGATACAATGATTAATCTAGCATCAGATCTATTGCAGTATGTTGTCTGGCTTATTAAATCAGTGGATGCAGAAGGGCCACTTTTCATATCCTGTGACAGAGAGAATTACCTAGGGTGCTCAATGCGGGGAACAAGGGCAAGACTGTGGTGAACACAGTGGAGTGCCACTCAGACAGGCTCAGCCATGGTGGATCCATCAGCAGAGGACCTGCAGCTGTCAGCATCCATGGGCTCCCTCCCCCACAGGTGGCCACCTCCCCCAATAGCAGGAGCATACCTTGCCAGGGGCGCCTGCCCACATACAGGGATGGATTGAGGGAGGCGCACAAAGGGTCACCAGAATCCTCAGTTCTTTGTGTTCCTTAGAACACCATTACCTTCTTTCTGTATTTGAAGTAAATTTTGGTTTGAAAAAAGCATGGCCTCTCTACCTCCATACTTGCTCAGTTGTAGATGTAGCTTACCTTGTGCTCACTCTGCATCTTACCAGACTCCCACACATTGTGAGTCTACCAGAGTTTGTGTCTCTAATACTACATCTGTCAAGGGAAAGGCAAATAATCGAAGCACATTGTATTTGTGTCTCCTCTGCTTGTGTGCGTGCCCCATTGTTCCTTTCGACTTCACTTACAAAAGATAAATTCAAAGATAAAATTGTTAGGAATTTTAAGACTGTGACAGCTGAAATTCTGTGCTTCTGAGTACCAAATTCTGGGCAGTTGCAGAGGATGCATGCTGGTAAAGCTAGACTTGCCTAACATAATCACTCTGGTTATACCTGATTCTCTTCCTTTTTCTTTTTCTGCATCACCCACCTTCATATCCAGCAGCAACTGGAGAGGGGAGGAGTGAAATAACAGGTTACCATGGGCTGCGGAAGCATAATGAGTCAGACTGTAGCCCTCTCGAAAGACACTGACAACCTCCTGTCTCATCCCCATCAGGGCCTGATTCACCCTTGCTGTCCCGGAGTACTGAAAGCTCCTGCCCTGAGTTAGGAAACTTGCTAATCTGTATGATGTTCATTTCAAATTGTACAGTGATACAAACTGTTGCTCCTGAGTCACTTAGGTCTTTTTTCCCTAAGTAATTAACAATTTTCAACATAAAGTTTCTCTTCTCTATTTCTCTCTCTCTCTCTCGATCATTTATAATCTCACCATTCAAGTATTTTCAATTTATATACTTTGGCATTTTTCTATTTATATGAACTCTGGGGTTTTTTTTTAATCAAAACAAGCCTTATTATATAAAGTACTTTGTAACTTACTTTTTTACTTAACATTGCATTGTGGATTTATTCTCAAATTAATAAATATATATCAAATCATCCTTTTTAACACCTAAAAATATTTTATTGATAATTCAAAATGTATTTATCCAGGCTCCTCATTGATGGGTAAACAGATTCATTATGATATTTGGCTATTATAAATAGTTCTCCAGAATATATCCTTTCATGTGTATCTACTATTGCTATTATTATCATCATTTGATTATTACCTTTTGTTAAAACCTGGAACTGAAATTGCCTGGTGATGTATAACTCTTAATTGTCAAATTTTAATTTGTATAACAACCTCTTAGAAGTTACAGATGTTAGTGAAATATTAAGATAAATATGAACTCATGTTTCTGACCTGCCATCTTTTCCATAAAACCTTCCCTACAGCAGTCATCCTCATACCCACTTGGCTTCAGCAGCCCTTCCAGTGGATAAATATTTGTTTTATCCTTTAAATGGCCCAATAGCTTCTGACATCCCACTTACTATGGTCCAACAATGTACCCCTGAAAACCAGTTAAAGCCTATGGAGATTCAAACAGCTGAACCAGAATTTCAAGCTGTGGTTTAGATCCATGTTCATTCATTAAAATAATAATAATAATAATAATAAAAAAATGCTTGCACTGTATTTTTCAGATGTATTTCAATTTTTTTTGTGGAGTTCCAGTCGTACTTCACTCAGGATTATGCACAAACAGCTTGGATCCATTCCATTGTAGATTGTGTGACCATGCTCTGTGGTGAGTATAACTTACCAGGGATAGATAGTTACTGGATAATCTTGAACTATACACAACAATGGTCTTCTACTGCTTTTGTTTATCCATTTTTTTCTGAAGAGCAGATCTTTGCTAAAAATTGGCTAAGACTATGTAAGAAGAAAAGACCAATCCTACTTTCAGCAAACCCAACCAGACATGCTCTTGGAATTAATGATGTTGGCTGAGGGCAGGTGGAATAGGTAGTTAATACTCTGAAAAAGATACATATTATTTGGTTCTCCCATAATGAGATAGGATGCTGGGCATCACAGGACTCCTCCTGATTTGGGAAACAGGTAACCATACAGTACATGCAGGGCTTCTCTCTTCTAAATGCTATGGTCGCCTCATTCTCCAGGCATGTAAGCAGTCATTGGATAGCACTCTGAGCCATTTCTATACAATCTCCTTAAACAAGTGCCAACAATATGTGCATCACATATCAAGACTTGTTTTCATTCTGTTCCCTTCTCAGAGGTTCAAAATTTGGCTCATGGATTTCATTTTTCATGCATAAATCTTTATTCTTAGAAAAAGTATGAGGGAAGGATAGGACGGTGTAGTCATGAGATAAGCACACTCACCATGGCTATAATTTCATTCAAAGAACCCCAAGGGTACAAACAAAGTATATAGAGTATTATCAAAATTTGTGGAATCTCTCAATCCATCATATAATTGAGAAAACTAACCTTGAGATTTTTCTTTTTGAACATTTTAAACTGAAGTTACTAATATCTTAGAGAGTTTCTGAGATTGGGTCAAATTGAAATGATCTGTTTGCATTTTATTTAATTATTTATTTCCATTTAATTATTTTATTTAGATGAATCCTTAGTATTAAAAAAAAAACTACTTATCTCTTCAAGCCATGTTTTGGTGGCAAAAGGGAAGTACCATATTATTCAATAACTTGTAAATAACCTCAACTAACTTCATTCTAGATACTGATTCATATTATTTTTAGAAAAAAATGTACATACTCAGGAATCAATTGAATTGTGCTGAAATGTATTTCCTTTGTTGGGAGGAATTTGAAAGCAGTTTTAGCGAGTTTCATGAGAAGGCTAAGTTGACTCTGTCTCCTGATAACACTGGAAGGTCTTATGGGATCAAAAATAGCTTTGTGTTCACTAATCTATTTTTTTAAAACCAATAAGACAATCACTTTGTTTTCAGGGTCACATTATTAGTCACAGCCTTTGTATGAGCATGCTGAGTGAGCCATGTTTATCTTTCTCAGAGGACACAGGTGACTCATTTCCCTTACTGTTACCTTCTGGAGAATATTTGTAATCCCCAGAAGAGGAATAAATGGCCTTCGGTGACCAACATGATCACGGTGACTGTGTGATAAAGCAGGGTCATGTTAGATGTTGCATTTTTAAATTCGAAGACTTGAGGCCATGCAAGGATTTCAGGCCTGCTGTATCCAATTACCATGTGCCCACTTGCTCGCTCACCTGGCAACATTAGTTAAGTTCAGGAGATGGACAAGAGGCTGCAGAGTCATATATAGGACACTCACTAGGGGCATTGTGCCCTATGATAAACAGAGAAGTAAACATTTTTCACTGAGTTTGGTCGAAATTTTCTCACTTGCTGATAGCCATAACAGCAGCCTGGAGAATTAGATATATTCTCAGGAGGTTTGCTCCTTCCTGTGTTTGAGAGGTTGTATATACAGCCAGCCACTATTTTAACTAGACAGGAGACATCAAGCTGATGACTGGTTTCATCACGTACATTTTTGGTTTTGTTTTTGTTTCATTTATTTTTTTTTATTGGAGTTCGATTTGCCAACATATAGTATAACACCCAGTGCTCAGCCTGTCACGTGGCCCTTCAGTGCCCGTCACCCAGTCACCTAATCCCCCCACCCACCTCCCTTTCCACTACCCCTTGTTCTTTTCCCAGAGTTAGGAGTCTCTCATGTTCTATCACCCCCTCTGATTTTTTTCCCACTCATTTTCTCTCCTTTCCCCTATAATCCCTTTCACTATTTTTTATATTCTTCATATAAGTGAAACCATATAATGTTTGTCCTTCTCCGATTGACTTACTTCACTCAGCATAATATCTTTCAGTTCTATCCATGTCGAAGCAAATGGTGGGTATTCGTCGTTTCTAATGGCTAATATTCCATTGTATACATATACCACGTCATCTTTATCCATTCATCTTTCGATGGGCATCAAAAATGTCCATCAGTTTGGCTATTGTGGACATTACTGCTATCAACATTGGGGTGCAAGTGTCCCAGCGTTTCACTGCATCTGTATCTTTGGGGTGAATCCCCAGCAGTGCAATTGCTGGGTTGTAGGGCAGATCTATTTTTAACTCTTTGAGGACCCTCTACACAGTGGCTGCACCAGTTCACATTCCCACCAACAGTGCAAGAGGGTTCCCCTTTCTCCACATCCTCTCCAACATTTGTTGTTTCCTGCCTTGTTAATTTTCCCCATTCTCACTGGTGTAAGGTGGTATCTCATTGTGGTTTTCATGTGTATTTCCCTGATAGCAAGTATCACATACATTTTTTAATCAGGCCCCAGGTGCAGCCTGATCAATATGAAGTTATACTCCACAAATACCCAGAGAACTTGCTCTTCTGATCTTGATACTAGGAGTACTGGGATCAGTATGAGTTGTTCCATAGAAAGAATCCACATGCTTTCCTCACCCATCTCCCTAGCCATCAGTCTGGGAGGAGACAGAGTTAAAAGGGTGAAATGACCCTGCACTTGGTGTCGGGTGCTCCGAGCTGTACTTCTTGGTGATCCTGGACATGTCATATTCCCCCAAACTTCAATTTCTCCTCAGTCACTTTCCGCTTTATTTGATACTCTATAACCTGGAAGTCGGCACAATTCTGACACAAATAGAGTGAGGCCCACCAAAATGTCACCATGGATGTGAAGCGTTTGTTTTGATTTCTCATCCACAGGGTTTCCTAGAGCCTGAAAACAGTACCAGATTGTGAAATTTGTCTGTGGGCTTTTCTTGGCCTTTCCTGCCTAACCCTGCTGGCCACACGGTGTTGCTCATTTCCTTCCTCACCAGCTAATGGTCATAATTATTGCTAATGGTACATGATTAATACTATGAGAAACATATAAAGCCCTGAGATGATAGAATGGAGAAGTGGAAGGGCTACTGAAATGCAAGTCAGCAGACTCGACCCTATGTCTAGCTTTGCTACAGGTTCTCTGTGTGACCAGGGACAAGTCGTTTCCTCTCTCCTCAGTTTCCAAATCTGTAGAATGAGTAGGATGGGCTTGATGCTATAAAGGTCCGTCATTCTTGGCTTGGCCAATAAAACACCAGAGCCGTTTCACAGTGCCATCAAGGCTTTTCTGTTGAACCTATTTATTATTGTTTTTGAAGCTCCACTTGGGAGTGTTGTCAGTAACCATTTATCCTGTCAAGTGGGAATCATGCTGGGTGGCTTGCTTGCATCTACTGGTCTCATCCTGGGCTCATTTGCCACCAGTCTGAAGCATCTCTACCTCACTCTGGGAGTTCTAACAGGTAAGGGCACTTTGTACCACTTTGTCTCACCCCTCCCCATTCAGGTATTGTCAAGCACATCAACAGAACCATAATCCATAAAATATTCGTCTTGTTAGATGCATAATTTAGCTGATCTCTCTTCTGCCCACCTACCTATCAGTTAAAAGAACTAGAAATACAATTGATTGTACTATTGTAATGAAAATGTATCACCACTTGAATTCAGCCATATGATAGAAGTAACTGCTGGCCTCCCCTTTGGCAATAGTGTATGGCTGCGATTCTGTATCGGAAGCAATGAGATATTAGCCAGCATAACATAAATTTTCAGCAATGATCTTTCTCCCAACATTTTTGCCAAGACATAAAAATACTGCCTGTGGTCAACCTGAGTTGCCCCTGCTTTATAGTGAAGATCATTGTCCAGTAAATGGGAGTTTAATTTAAAAAAAGAAAGCCCCTTATTGTGAATATTCTTATATTATACATTCTCTCTCAATGTTATGGAAGTATACTTTAGAAAATTATAGGGAACCCTGTAGGAAGAGAAGTCACCTATGTACATTCCATAAATCACACCTAAGGAGGCTACTTAGCATCAAGGTGGGATTGGTTGGTAGCACTGGAGTGGCAATTTGCCCCATCACTCAGAGGGATGTGTAGTAGCACTCATAGTCTGGGTACTGTGCATAGGGTTAGCATCATGATCTGGCCAATAAAGGACATAATCTCATAGTGATTTTATAAATCTAGCTCTATCAGCTAAAAAAAAAAAAAGGTATCTGTCCCATGTCACTCAAAGGGCCCACCTGCTAGGGTGTCTAGTTATTTCAGTTTCCCGAGGAGCATCCTGGTCTTAGCACCCAAAATCTCACATCTGGGAAACCCATCAGTCCAGGCAAATCAGGATCATTGGTCACCCTGCAGTACAGATGGAAACAGGAGCTGATGATGGTTCTGTTTTTCCATTTTGATGCCATGAATTCCAGGTTTTACACCCTTCAGATTTTCTTGACTTAACAGGAATAAGAGCTGAAAATTTTTAAGAGGCTTTCTGCTGACTTTAAGAAATATTTTCAGGTTCTATGTTCATATATAAAGTTGACATAAAGTTTCCCAGTTATGTGAAATTGCTCTGGAATTTTCATGGAACTTTCATGTATGCTATTTAAATCCAAATTCCAGGGTGGTCCAGATTATCCGAGTTCTGTTTTCTTTCTTTTCCTTTTTTTTTTTAAAGATTTTATTTATTTATTCATGAGAAACACAGAGAGAGGCATAGACATAGGCAGAGGGAGAAGCAGGCTCCCCCTGGGGAGCCTGATGGGGAACTCAATCCCAGGACCCCAGAATCACGCGCTGAGCCAAAGGCAGGTGCTCAACCACTGAGCCACCAGGTGCCCGCAGAGTTGTGTTTTCATGGGCAGTGAAGAGTTGAGGTAATTCTCTGGATAATTTATGATAAAAAGAGTGTTAATGGGGAGAATAAGTTTGTTAGGTCAGCATTATCCTGATTTTCTTGTTAATTCAAATTCAGTTTGTGTAATAGTTTCTAAGTTCTACATTTCATTTTAAGAAGTCCTATTTTTTAAGATTTTCTTCCCAAGGGGAAAGTCATACATATGCTGTACTCTCCAAACTGGGTGGCCGGTGGGGAAGACAGCTTCAGCTTGGTGAGGAAATAGTTTTAAAAGGGTTTGACAAAAGGCCAGATTCTCCTTTATCCAAATAAATGTATTCTGAGAGGTTTTCTTTCATTGGTTGTTGATGGTGGCACTCATAGACCTCTCTCTCTCTTTAGGTCTTGGATTTGCACTGTGTTACTCTCCAGCTATTGCCATGGTTGGCAAGTATTTCAGCAGACGGAAAGCTCTCGCTTATGGGATTGCCATGTCGGGAAGTGGCATTGGCACCTTCATATTGGCTCCTGTGGTTCAACTCCTAATTGAACAGTTTTCCTGGCGGGGAGCATTACTCATTCTTGGGGGCTTCGTTTTGAATCTCTGTGTTTGCGGTGCCTTGATGCGGCCTATTACTCTGAAAGAAGACCAGACAACTCCAGAGCAGAATCACGTCTGTAGAACGGAGAAACAAGACTTTAAGCGAGTATCTCTCTGCTCCACTTGGACTAAAAAATGGGGGCAGACCTGCCTTTGTTGCTCTTTGCAGCAGGAATACAGTTTTTTACTGATGTCAGACTTTGTCGTGTTAGCCATCTCTGTTCTGTTTATGGCTTACGGCTGCAGTCCTCTCTTCGTGTACTTGGTACCTTATGCTCTGAGTGTCGGAGTGAGTCACCAGCAAGCTGCTTTCCTTATGTCCATACTTGGGGTGATTGACATTGTTGGCAATATCACATTTGGATGGCTAACTGACAGAAGGTAAAAGTCATTGAAACCACACTTGGTTCCCTACCAGGGGACTTTGAGTTTTGAGTTCCCCTTGTCCTCTTACCCTGTAGAAAACCTGTGTCTGAATCCTGTTTTCAATTCAATTGCTGGTTTTTCTAGTGAGAGGTTGGCAAACTTTTCCTATAAAGGGATAGCTAGTAAACATTTTTGGCTCTGTGAGTCATATGATCACAATTATTCAACTCTGCTGTTGCAGCGCAAACCAGCTGTAGACAATATGGGAACAAATGGCTATGTGCCAGTGGACTTATGGATACTGAAATCTTAATTTCTCATATAATTTTTACATATCAACATAATGTTCTTTTGATTTCTTTAACCAATGACTTGAAAGTAGAAAAACATTCTTACCGCACAGATAGTGCAAAAACAGGTGGTGGGCTGGATTTGGCCATAGTTTGCCAGCCTCTGTTTTAGATGGTTTAGGATAGTGAGTGGGTCTAAGTTGCAGAAACCTGTGTTAACTACAAGTCCTGGTGACAGATTTATCTCCATCCCAACTCAAGTCAGTGTTCAGGCTGGGTGTTGTGCTTTTAGTTATTTTTTAATGACCCCAGAGACTGTCTGGCAATGGAGAGAGGAGCAGAATTCAGTCCAGGCAGGAAGATCAGATGCAATAACTATATATAATCTATAGGCACATATTTCTGTTTGTCAATACAAATAGCAAATACTTATTTCATTATCATTTTAGGCTTAGAAATCAGAGTTGTCAGAAATCTGCCAAGTAGTTTCTTCAGCTAATGCTTATCTGTTAGAATTGAAGAGAGCGAGGTACTCATCTTCTCATCAATGATGGACTCTTCACACTTGAGCTATGACCTGGGAGAGCAATCATCCTGTGGCTTCTCACATATTATGTCTTTGGTAATTAATCAGGGTTCAACTGCCATTCACCAGTGCTATGAATATAATATTTAAAATTCATTCCAAAAAATGTAATGGTTAAGGAAAAGAGGGGAGAGCAGAGGTATCTATCTTGACAATCAACTCAACAACAGCCCAGTGTAGGTTTGATAGAGGTATCTCTAGTTGGAGATGTTCAAGACCTAAATTCTTGTGCTGGCTCTGTCCCTTATTATCCCTGTGACCTAAGGAAAATCACTAACTCTCAGATCCTCAAGGGTCATCATCTATAAAACAGGCCAATGCAATATTTTTCTATTAACCTCTTAGCATTCTGTGAGGCCCAAAGGGGACAGTGGGTTGAAAAAAATGTTTGTAAAGTACTAACTACTGATATTTGCTGAGTCTTTGAAATAGTGATGTGTTGTGCTTTTAGTTATTTTTTAACAGTGCTGATATTTTACTGAGTCTTTAAAATAGTGATGGTATCAATGCCATTTGGTATCAGTCATGAGTTTGGAGATATAGAGGAAAAGTGGAATGCAAGTGCCACTGAGAAGGATCAAAATAAGACTTAGTCCTAGTACAAGACCTTCAGAATCCCTGGCAAATAATTTTAATGTCTTCATATTCTAGCTTCTCCCTTGTATAACTTGGGTTTTTGAGCATATGTAATGTGCCAGACACTAGTGGATGTCCTATATGAAAGCATATAATATGATAGAATGCTAGAAAATATTAGTCTCCTGATACTCTACATGTTATTTTACAACTATCCTCAGGGTAACCCTATGAGATAGATAAACTTCCCATTTTATAGCTAAAGAAATTGAGATTAGAGTCAAGCAGTTAGCAGGTGATAGAACTGGATTCAAACTTCCATCTTTCTAACTTCAGAGCATATATTATTTTCTGCCACACCATGTTTCCTGGGAAGATGAATTGTGTTTTCATATACCAAAAGAAAGATAAGCAGACAACATAGATAACACACCATGGGAAGTTATTCTCTATGAATAACTGCAGTGCTTACTGCTGCATGGCCATGGTTCTAAAGCTCTTTGATAGAACCTGTGCATACAGCACTCATTCTTGATCTTCAAATCTACAGGTGCCTGAAGAATTACCAGTATGTCTGCTACCTCTTTGCCGTGGGACTAGATGGGCTCTGCTATCTCTGCCTCCCAATGCTTCAAAGTCTTCCCCTGCTCGTGCCTTTCTCTTGTACCTTTGGCTACTTTGATGGTGCCTACGTGACTCTGATCCCAGTAGTGACTGCAGAAATAGTAGGGACCACTTCTTTGTCATCAGCACTCGGTGTAGTATACTTCCTTCATGCAGTGCCATACTTGGTGAGTCCACCTATTGCAGGTAAGTTTCCAGAGAGATCCCCCAAGCACCTCTTCTCTTTGCTACACTGATGTGAAAAAACAGTGAACTCACACATAGACAGTGATGATTGGAAGTTAAGTTGAGATAATTTTCTTCCAATTGAGTGGGGACCTTAACCTACTTGGAAAGAAGAAATCCAAAATTAAGGTCCTGATTCCATTCCACACTAATGATGGGAGCAATGGAATGGAGCAGCTGTTCAGATTTATAAGTAAGTTAGGCACATTCAGAGGGAAGTCTAGAGGGAGTACAGGGTCCCACTTGGGGATACTGGGCAGTGAGGCTGAAATGGTAAGTGACTCTGTCATAGTAGTGTGCCTTGAGTGCCAGCCAAAGGAGCTAAAAGTTCCCTAAATTCTTCAGAGACTATGGATAATATTATAGTTTTTGTGCAAAAGGGTAATATGGTAAAGAGTCTATTTTAGAAAACGTGACCTAGCAATCTATCTGGTGCTTTAGGGGAGAAGCAGTTAGGATTCTATTCTAATAGTTCAGAAGCAAATTGATAAAGTCCTGAACTAGGGCCGTGGCAGCAAAAATGAAAGAGAGCTCTGGGGGTGAGGAGGAAGTTTTGGAAAAAAATATCAACTGAATTTAGCATGTGAGGGTGAAGGAGGGGAAAACTCAAAGATAAGCTAGAAAAGAATGGCATGGTTGAAAGCAAGAAGGAAGTTAGAAAAAGTGGCTTTGCCAGAAAAAATAATGAATTAAAAGTTTAGAGAGATTCAGAAATCTGAAATACCCAATAAAATGTCCAACATTGCTGTGTGAGGATGAAATCTGAGCTTTAGAGGGAGGCCAGATTTAGATTTAGAATTTTGGAGATCATCAGATAAAGAGCATCTAGAATGTTTTGTAAACTGTCAAATGCTATCGAAATTTAGTGTGGTTAAACAAGTAACTTGACAAATATTTATTGCTTGTGTACACTAGCATTGCTTTTGGTGCTACTAGAGCAGCAAACAGGTCAAAGTCCCTCCTTCCTTCGTAGAGTATGTGGTCCAGACCAGTGTCTCTCAAAATGAAGTCATAGGACCACCCACCCACCCATCACGTCAGAATCTCCTGGAGCCCTTGCTACAAAATACAGATTCCTTGATCCTCCATTGTGATCTGAATCTTTCCAGGAATCTATATTCTCAACGAGCTTTCTTATGATGCTCATGCACACTAAAGACTAAGAATAATTGGCGATGCCTGGGGGGCTCAGTGGTTGAGCGTCTCCCATCAGCTCAGGGCGTGACCCCAGAGTCCCAGGTTCGAGTCCCGCATTGGGCTCCCTACAGGGAGCCTGCTTCTCCCTCTGCCTGTGTCTCTGCTTCTCTCTCTCTCTCTGTGTGTCTCTCATGAATAAATAACTAAAATCTTGAAAAAAAAGATTGAGGATAATTGGTTCTGATTATTACCTGCCTGAACTAAAGCCAAGAGAGTGAAGATCCCTGAAGACAGGCAAAAAAGAAATGAGCCAAAATTTGCTTAGAAGAAAGGAAGGGAATTTTTGAAGAAGGCAGGATTTCCGCTTTAGCTGCTATTATGAATAAACAATTTAGAATTATTTCCAAACCTCAGTGATTGCTAAATCAGCAAACTAAGGGAAACTGCTTAATGGCTACAGATTAAAAATCCTGGTCAGTTTAAATTCTGTGATATAGGACTATGCGTTTAGGAAATGCCCCCCAAATGTCCCCACATCCTCCCTCAATAGCCAATTTTTGTGTTTACCAACCTTTAGGAGCAGTGTAATTCTGTTAAAAAGTGACAGTGCATTATGGAATTGGGATTTCTAGATCTTTTTTCAATCCATGGCCTTCATTTGGCAAATCAGACGTCCTACTCGTTGCCAGGCATCAAAGGATTAGGGTTTAAGTTCTTACTGTAATACTTCTCTTATTTAGTCACCTTTAAAATGACAACTCTCTACTCAATCATTTCTGTTTGGTGCTACAGAAGTACATAAGTAAATCACACAGTAACTAAAATATTTGAGAGTAGTTTGGATTGCAAGAAACTTTGTGAGGCTTATAACAACTTCTACATACCATTTTTAATTAATGAGTTGAAGTGGGTGAAAGGAAAAATCATATATTTTTACTGTGTATTTAAGTTTAGAGGAACTTTTTAAAAGATTTTTTTTATTTATTTTAGAAAAAGATGGGGGTGGGAGGAAGAGAATCTTCAAGCAGACTCCTTACTGACTGTGGAGCCCAGTATAGGACTTGACCCCATGATCCTGAGATCATAACCTGAGCTGAAACCAAGAGTTGGATGTTCAGCCAACTGAGCCACCCAGGCACCCCAATTTAAAGGAGTTTTTTTTAAAAAAAACTTTTTAATCACAAAATAATTGCCTGCCGAGGTCTAATTTGACTCTATTGATTCTCTGATCATTCTGGCCCATATTTTATCATATGCCCTGATACTCCTCAAAATTTAGAGCTGGAAAAAATATTGAGATTCATTTGTTGCAAGAAGAAATAAAGAGGAAAAAAAAGCCATGATTGTAGAATGATACCTGATGAAGTCTGCATTGACAACTTCTACAATGGCCCAAAGTTCTGATTTTCAAACTGCATAGGGTACAATGACTGGATCTAATGGAAAATTTGGATTCGGCTTCATCCAAAGGCATGTTATGTTACTCATGATAGACAGTATGTGGGTACTGGGAATATTACTAACGTTCAGTACTATTATATTCTCTCAGCAGACATAAATGATCTCAATATCAATATTTTGAGTGACACCATTTTTATCTTTTCTACCATATTAAAAATAATATATATTGTGTGATTATTGAGAATGAGACACTCTTCCAAGTACTTTACAGAACAACAGTACATTTTAGGAGTTTCCTAGAAAACAGAATGCACTTTTCAATTGCTGCACAATATTTTTAGATATGCTTTTTGTGTCAAAATTATAACGGTGATGATAGCAATCTATCGTCATATCCTTAGAAATTATTAGATTTGGGAGTAGGTAAACAACTGGATTTTCAACTCAACAATGTAATTTTGCTGTTGCTTGTTACAGGATGGCTTGTCGATACAACTGGCAGCTACACTGCAGCATTTCTTCTCTGTGGATTTTCAATGATATTTAGTTCTGTGTTGCTTGGCTTTGCTAGACTTGTAAAGAAGATGAAAAAAACCCAGCTGCGGTTCCTTGCCAAAGAATCTGATCCGAAGCTGCAGCTCTGGACCAATGGATCGGTGGCTTATTCTGTAGCAAGAGAGTTAGATCACAAAGATGAGCAGTCTGTGGCTCTAGCTCTGTCGGTTACAACCCCACATGACCAATGGCCTTGAGCCTGGGAATCTTCAGGGCTGAGAGAGGTGGGACCACTAGATTGTACATGTCTCTGAAGCATTTAACTTTGGCAGAAGCATTGCCTTCCAAGGAAATTATTATTATTGTTTTATTAACATGTTTATAGGGGAAAATAGCAAATCACAAAGCAAGTTGGAGTGGCTCAGAGTTTCCTCATTTAGCATTTGTACTCACAATTGAACTCCTATCTTTCAAGCAATGAGCATCACTCCATGGGGAATGTTAGGATGTAGCTGCTATAATTAGCTGTATTAGGGGTAATTTCAAAATATGACAAAGGCAGACTTGGGAAGCTTTGTCGCAAACTCTCTGTGCCTCCATCTTACTCCCTCAGAATGTAAACAGAAACAATGACATGGAGGTTTGCTTACTTTATGCTTTACTTTATGGAGAAAAGGGTCTGTATTAATCACTGCCTTTTGAAGAATCTAAAGCATTCTTCAACAACCCTGTCTAAAGCCCTAGTGAGAGACCCCATTATGAGGAAGGTTTGGCATCTTCACCTTCCACCTCCACCACAAGCTTTCTTCCTATGACTGAGCCCTGACTTCTGACCAGGCACTCACCTCTGTTACTATCACATATAATACTGAATTTAACAGAACACACCAAGAAATCACAAGGTTATTTCTAAATCCTACCTGAAATGTGAACACCAACGCTTCCCCTTTTTTTCTTTAGAAACAAAGCTTTTATTTGAATTGCGCACACATTCCTGCTAGGAACTGAAAAATGTGGGCAGTATTCCAACTGGGCAGGAACTGAATTCTTGGATCAGCAGGTCTCTGATGAGAGTTTTCTTTTCAGATCAGACATTTAGGTTCATCATTACCCAAAACAGACCTTGGGAGGTTAGCCTGAAAAATATTGTTCTAGAGATAGTCTAAAGGTGAGATTCCTTTTCCCTGTGCTAATGCTTGCTTGTTCCAATGTCCACAGCCCTTTATCTCCTTATCGAGAATCATTAGAAACTTGATGGGCCTCTTCAGTTGAATGAGAAGGCTTCAGGGGTTAAGCTCAGCATCACAGTACTCCTTAATTAGAGCTTTGGTCAGGGGAGAGGGAAGAGAAGGTTGAGAAGGCAGTGGCCTTGTAAAGTGATACTTTACAGTTCATAGAACTCTTTCACATACCTTCACTCATTGGATTGGAATAGTTAACTCATTCTTAAGTACTCTGTTTTCTGATAGTTTGGGATAATCTCTGACTTTTCAGAGGGAGGATGTGGGAAAGAAGGGAAAGGCCAGATCCTTCAGCTGGTCGTCAGCCATTTTATATCCACAGATGATAGTGCTGAATCCCCAAATCATAATATACCTGTAAATGAGGAGCAAGTTGCATAATTGGAAGGGGATTTTAATTGTTGAAAAATTTAAAATCTGAACCCCAAAGAAATAATTTGTCCCTGAAGAAGCTTCACAAATTCCCTGCCAGCGCTGAGGAAGATCCTAGGTGGGCTAAGCATGTTCAACAAGAGTTTTTGCCTATTACTGGATTATTTCATAAAATTACATATTAATATATTGCTTTCAGAATGAAATGCTGACTTGATTGAATGGTAAAAAAGCTGTAATATTTCATAGTTGTTTTCCAAAGATAAATTTGAATGTTGCCTGTTATCTTTTACTTAGACTTTCGTTTTGAACCCATTTACTTTGTCATTTTCAATTTAAAAACAATATTTGGGAAATATCTGTAAAAAGTCAGTTACAGTGAACTTACGTGTGTTTGGAACAGCACTTTACACTAAATGTCATTTCTTGAATCTTCAAGCCTAAGGATTTTTTAAATATAGTTATAAATATTCTTATATATATATTTTTCCTAGTGATCACAGTAAAATTTTGTTTATCCAGCTCTGCAATATAATTTCTCTAAAAGTATTATAAGTATTCATGAAAAATGAGTATAGAAACCAGAGCTTTAAAAAATTTGTATAAGATAATTTCAGATATTTTTACTTTATACATGCATAAATTTATATCTTATTTTCCCTTTTGGAGGAGCATTTTTAGAAAACCAGCAAGGGAAATGTAGATCTTAGAGTCTACTGTTGTCAACTCCACAAGATTTTACTTTTAAGGTTCCATGTGCCTATACTGTTTATTTCAAAAGGGAGGGATTTGTGGAAATGATGTTTTGTGGGATCAAGAATAAAATTATGGTGCAATGATTCTACATCTAAATATTACTTTTTATCACTGTAAACTCTACTTTGAAATTGACTAGAAAAGCAAAGAAACTAACTTCTATAGATACATTGTACCATTGGGCCTTTTTTTTCCAGATTGTGATTCTACTAATAAATCAGATATTTATGCTAATATTTTCTTATTTCAAAAGCAAAATAAAATGAGTTTATATTTGTGTTTGGAAAAAAATCTTTTCCCTGTACAAGGGATTTATATTGAATGGTGACTGGGCTTGTCTGGATTGCTAAAATGTAGCTGGCATATAAAGATGTGTAAATAATCAAATAATTTTCCAAAAGCCAAACCCCGTTTATTGAGTACTTCCAATGTATTAGCTACTGTACTAAGTACTTCCTATGCATTGTCTTATTTAATGCCCATAATTACCTAGATTATTGTCATTTGATACATGTGCAAACTGGGACACCAAGTGGCCACTGCATTTCTCTGGTTTCAGTGAAATCCTGTCAAGCTAGGAAGCAATCTGATGCTGGAACCTGCCTTCTTCCCTTTGCGTCTACTTGGGTTTTCTTCTTACGTGGATTCAAAAAGCCATTTGAAAACAGGCCCTCTTTTAGGAAGTTAAAAGCCTTTGGATTATGCTTCACTCTTACAATTCATATAGATGGGAAGATTCTAAAATGGAAATTTCCAAGAGTTTTCCCAAGAGTCTTGTTCTATCAAGACCACTACTTCCAGGCTAAGTGGTTTAATTTGCTCTCTATTGATCCAGGCTTCTCTTTGGGAGTATTTATGTTTGTGTAGCAGGGAGAAGGTTGGAAAACATACTTTGTCCCAAAAGAGAGTTCTATCTTCTGCGTTACCAGAATCGCAGGGAGGAGTTGAATTCTTTCTTAAGTGCCTGCGCTGTTCATTGCCCAGTGATAACGAAGATGGTAATGTCTATCTGGCACTCACCTTCCTGGTCTCTGAAATTATTTATTGAACTGAAATAGTGTGAGCTCAAGGTAGATACTGGAGTTTCTCTTCTCATACTTCAAAATTCAAGTCTTTATTTTTTTCTACTCTGCCAAAGAACAGATTTAAAAAAAATTTTTTTTAATGATTTTATTAATTCGAGAGAGAGAGAGAGCATGATTGGGAGAGAGGGGCAAAGAGAAAGGGAAGCAGACTCACCACTGAGCAGAGACCCCAATTGGGGATTGATCCCAGGACCCCAAGATTATGACCAGAACTGAAGGCAGATGCTTAACTGACTGAACCACCCAGGCACCCCAAACAATAGATTTTTATACCTGTTGCCAGAGCAGCTACCAGTGAGAGATGACTGGGATTTCTTTCCATAACACAGAGAAATATTTGTGAAATATTTCACAAATAGAATAGAGAAATACTAAATCACAATAAAGAGACTGACATTTAAAACATTTTATTATGGAAATTTTCAAACGTACAAAAATAAAACAGTAAAATGAACTTGACATAACGATCCCACAGCATCTACAATCACCTACTCTTTACTCTTCTCCTTGATGAAACTATTTGAAATATATAAACATGCTGACAGAACATGAGTTCCTTCAGCTGTCAAGGAATAACTGAACCTGGCAAGAATAATTTATTCATGCAACCAGAGGGTATGGGTGGTTGGTATCACCTATTAATGGATCATATCGTTACAAAGCTGATTGATTACCCTTTTTTTCTGTGGACTTTGGGTGTCTGAATTCTAGGTTAAAATGTCACTCTCTAGACAGCCCATCTTTAATCACTGCCCCATCTAAATTACATATCCCCACCATCACCACCTACATTATACTCTCAGAACACTGTTCTTTTCCTTTACAGAATATATTCTTTAAAATGTTATCTCCTCCACAAAACCACAAGCTTTCTGAGGACAGGGATCATACTGACTATTCACCAGTCAGTCCAGTGTCTAAAATATAGTAGGCACTTTATAATACTTGGTGGGTAAATGAATTAAAAAAAAAGGAAAAAAAGAATCAATAAAGCAACTGCTAATGAGAATTATAACACAGCAGGATGGGATCTGTTTGAAGGGTTGGGTTTTCTTGAAGTTGCTCTTGCACTCAGAATGGATATGATATGTTAGATGTTTCTAATTCCATGGGTCTAAATAAGACACCTGGTGTGAAGTATCACATGATAGTAGGAGCTCCAGAGCACCAAGTATCATGGGACAGGTTTGGGACAGCAAATAAAGGTGGCAAAGAGAAAAGTTGGTAAAAGTAAATGACTAAAGCTTTTGATTGAGGCCTGAAAGTGAAAGTGATATGACTGTGTTCAACCCCAACAGGCTTAACTAGAAAGTTATGTTGGGCTCAGATTGAGCGGAAGCCCCAGGGGTAGGGCACTGCTTACACAAGGAGCCCCAGAACATTAGGGTAAGGTGGAGCATTGTGCCTCATGCATGACAAGAAGGGATTTCAGGTACAGGCACCTCACAAGCTGCTTTTCCTTTACAGGGAAGACTACCTGTGTTTGGCCAGGGGAAGACTAGTCTTTTGCACAGTCCTATGGCTGTCCTCTAATTCATAGCGCATTACTGAAAATTAACATGCTGGCAAACATTTTCAAGAGTTGGTGAGAGGCTTTAATCACCTAACAACTATTTATCACGCACCTCATCAGAATCTGATATCATTTTTTTATGGCAGGGAATCCAAAATACAGAGAGCACACCCTCCATGATTTCAAGTTAATTGCCTAATTGGTAAATCGAAACCATCGCCTTGAGAACAACAACACCATGAAGTTGTTAAATGCTGACCTGAAGCTAAGAGCACTGCATATTATGGAGGTTAGGAGAGGAAGAATTCATTAAGGGCTGAAGAAATCTGAAGGTCGTTCCAAGGAACTCAGATATAGGGCTGAATGGGTTGGAATCAGCCTCTACTCTTTTTAGGGGAAGAAGCTGGGAGTAGGGAAAAGGGGTGTGGGCAGCCACTTTATGTGTGTGACTCCCGAGGTTCCCACATACACTCAACACCAAGGGAACCCTGAATACAAGTTAACACTAATAAATGTTCTGATGAGCGTATCTGTCTGGGACTTTGGGGATTGCTGAGATTTGGGTGTCTCTAAATTGAAAACGGTAATTTTCAGGGAATTGGGTTATACTCTTTATTCACTTCTCAACTCTAAAAAGGAGCCATTTAGGAGTGCCTGGCTGGCTCAGTTGGAAGAGCGTGCAGCTCTTGATCTTGGGGTTGTGTGTAAGCCCCACGATGGGTGTAAAGGTTAATAAATAAAACTTTAAAAAAATTAAATAAAAAGGAATAATTTGTAAGTTTTCTCTCTTAAAGGGTCCAGAGCTTCAGGAAGTTGTTTTCGTTTTAAATTGACATGTTATGCAGCACTGCCATCTGCTGGAATTAGTGAGACCACCTCCCAAAATTTGGTGACTCCTCCAATTACAGTTCAATTGGACAAGGCCAGCATTAGAAAAAACATGGAAGTTTGTTGTTGTTTCCTCCTCCTCCTCCTCCTTCTTTTTTATAAAGATTTTACTTGTTTATTCATGAGAGACACACTGAGAGAGGCAGAGACACGGGCAGAGGGAGAAGCGGGCGCCCTGCAGGGAGCCTGATGTGGGACTCCATCCCAGGACTCCTGGATCACAACCACTGAACCACCCAGGAGCCCTCTTTATTGTTTCCTTCTCTTCTGGCCCCCAGTTCCTGCTCATTATCCATCCCATGTTTATCCTCTTCCTCTTGCAGTAAAAATATAGGAATGAAGATGCTGTGTTCTATTTTTCAGCATTCTGATTGCCTATGTCAGTTTTCTATGTGGAGTATTAAAGTTAATATGAAGGTTTTGATGACTTAACTGAAGATAACAGTTGGTAAAATTTAACATAAAATTTTTTTTTGAGGGCTCAGTGGTTTAGCGCCTGCCTTCGGCCTAGGGCATGATCCTGGAGATCCTGGATCTCTCCCTCTCTCTCTCTGTGTCTCTCATGAATAAATAAATAAAATCTTTAAAAAAAATTTTTTTTGAGCCTTCTGCCTTCCTTAGGAATCCACATTGCCATCCCGGATCCCCTTCCCGGTTCCTTACTAATATGTTAACTGATTTGATATGTGAGACACAGACTCAACACATATCAGAAGTCAGATTTTGAGAAATGTTGAAACCAAGTGACATAAAGGAGTGTATTCTGTGTCAATTTGGAAACATAAAATAAAACATCATGTTTATTGTACACAAATCATGAGAATCAGGGACTGGATTTCCTTTAAAATGTATAGTTCTTATGAAATAAAAGGGGATACTATTTGTGTATAACAGTAATTGCCTTCAAAGGAAAGTGGATGGTGTTAAAAGGAAAGATCCTTTTGTTGAACTTGATGACTTGGCTATGCAGTAAGTGGATCTGTGGCTGATTGTTAGGATGATTTAGAACTGAATTGCTCTTTAAGGAAAATGGAGGAATTGGTTCTAACTTCAGAGGGAGAGTAATAGAGGAAGGAAAGACATAAGGCCCAGAATCATGGGAAAAGGCAGGAGCATCAGGAAATGGTTGAGGGTGTTTCCTTCTTTCCTTCTCTGTCTCCCTCAATCCCTCTCTCACTTTTCTTTCCTTCTTCCTTTCTCCACCCCTTCTTTTCTCTCTCTCCTTTTCTTTCAAAAAAAAAAGGGGGGTATCTCAAGGGGGGGTTACGTTGTAAATTTTTCCCTCTTGAAACCTCAATAAAGGGGGCAACCTGGGTGGCTCAGCGGTTTAGCGTGGCCTTCAGCCCAGGGCGTGATCCCGGTCCCATGCTGGGCTCCCTGCATGGAGCCTGCTTCTCCCTATGCCTGTGTCTCTGCCTCTCTCTGTGTCTCTCATGAATAAATAAAATCTTTAAAAAAAAAAAAAAAGAAACCTCAGTAAAGGGTTTTTATATACAAATGATCTGTAAGTGGTTTTAATTTTTTGTGTTTGTTTTGATTTTTATGTTTGTTGTTGTTTGCTTGTTTTGATGAGATTGAAGCATAAGGTTGCTGGAGTTAATGTGATATGGAAAAGAGAAAGCATGTGAAGAGAGTTGAAGCTACTACTCCAACACTAAATTAACGTCCAGTGGAATTAGAGCTCAGAGCCACTTTCCAAAGTCCACACCTTAGAGGCTCAAGGCAAGCCCAGACTGTCTTAAAAGGCAGGTGGTCCTAGCCTACCTCTGGCTGTTATATTGTTACAGCACTTTTCTCCCTTGCCTTTTCCTGGAGCTTTCCACACTGGGAGGAGGCTGTGATTCCCTTTGGTGTGAGAGACATAGCCTTCCTCCCAAGGACAAACGACTGCGTGTCTTGGCTTCTAA